TCTGTATGCAGATCCAAAGTTTTACTCCATTATTTATGAGTTCACAAGAATCTAATAGTATTCTCTGTACTCATATATATATTTATATATTAAAAAATAATAAATATATATATATATAATTAATTGTGAACACATTTAATATAATTTGATCTTAACGTAAACAAATCAGAAACTTCAAATTTTAAACTACAATCTGTTTATACAAGTATCATGCACCAGACGAAAAATTAAGAACAATTTTTTCTTATTTTTAAAATTATTTGAAGATATTTTATTCGACTATTGATTAAATAAGCGTGATTTAATATTTCGTGGCTAAGTACTTTGGGACAGATGTACTCTATTATTATTTCCTATTCTTTCCGAATTCATTTAAACGATTGACTAAGCCGTGCTTTGATAGCTCATAATAAAGTACGCGTGACACATTTATTCTATTATTATTACCTTTTATTCTCTCCGCAATTATTTATAAAATTATACTGATTATATCATTACGGACGAAAAAGGAAAAAAGTTTTGAGTGTCAGTAAAATATGGATAAATAAAGTTAAATATAAAGTAAAGTTTATAAATAATAAATTGAAATAAAGCTAAGTTTGTGAATATACACTTTTATATGAGTCATCATAATATAGTCAATAGCAAATAAGCTAAGCTAACGGCTATAATTCCGCTTCTTCCACTCTTCACTTTCCCCCTTCATTGACATTTCTACCGGAAAACTTCAAAAGTGTCTTCCTTAATATGCGGCTCAACCTAAATTAAATTGGGATTTGATTCAGACTCGAATAATTTCATCGTGTTTTAGTAGTGTTTAGGTCTATTTTGATATTAGAATTAGTTTATTAAATGGATAGAATTTAATTATTAATGAGTGGATAGTTATATGGTTTATAAATGATATTAATAAATTAAATTATAATCAATAGTTGAGCGCCAAGTATTTAAAAGAAATATTTAAACAGTTTAAATTTAAAACCGTCAAATAAGCATATTTTGAAGCCAATAGGTGTATGAGAAAGACATTTTGAAGCCCATAGGTGTATGGAGGATAGTTTTGTACCATTTGCAATACTCCGAGCATATTTTAGATCTTTTTCCGTTCTAACAATAAAGTTATTCAATTTCATAGGAGATAAAATGTTAAGTAGGAATCAAATGATAGAGTTAAAATTTGCAAACTAAATTTTAAAAAATAACAAACTAAGAAGAAAAAATAGATTAACGGTATGGAAAAAAAATATAATCCGACAAACTAGGAATCACATTATTCGAAATGGCATAATCCAAGCTGGTGGACAAATATGACTTAGTGATAAATCGGAATAAATAGATTCAATTTTCCCATCTTCGAAATTGTAAGCTCCCATATCTCTCCCAGCACCATCTAAGCAGCGAAATTTCTCATGCCAATCATCCGTAAAATATATATAATTAGGCTTAATTCCAATAAATTTAGACGATTCAATGGAACATGATGCATTAGAACCCAAAAAAACGGCCAAATTTCCCAAGGTTTTAATCGGCTCCATCTTTAATTCACCCTTGACTAAATCTACTTCAAAGACTTCAAATTTATAGGTCTTATATCTATGATCCTCAAATTGACAGGCATATCGAATAACAAATGATAGTGCACCAGATAGCTCGACTAGGTAATACTGAACTGAATGATGACGGAAGATATCATCTTCACACCAATAAAGCAATTGTGACTCTACAGTTGGTTTGAGTTTGGGGGTGGTAGGCCCTGGAACTTCAAAAACCCAGAATTCACCCCCAACAGTAACATAATAGAATTTACCTTTATAATAATTCATATCCATGATATCACCCATTCTGTCCACGCTAATATTAATATTAGTCCAATTGAGATCTCCAGGTCGCCAAAAAGCCAAACGATTAATATTTGCATGATACATAACCACCAATATGTAGTCTGATGTAATAGAAGGATTGGCAGATAAGACGGCCTTAACCGTCCAGTCCCATAACACTTGATCATCTCCTAGACCGTTCGAAGCCATTAAGTCATCTCGCGAAGGAAGTTGAATTTCGATACGGGACAAAGCATGTAACAAGTTCATGTCTCCGGTACTATCTTCCATGGTGCAGAGCCATCCCTCGGATGGACAACACTCTCGTCCTCTAGCTTCAGGCAGGAATATACTGGAAACTTTCTTCTTGGAAAGTGAATAGTATTCTCGATAATCGTTATCTTTATCAGCCAACATTAACAAGGGAACTTGAGGGGAAAACACATCAAATTTATCCTTTGGGGCAGCAATTTTCCAAGAGGTACAAACACAAGTAAAAACAATGAAATCTTTGAGCACGTCAATACGATTTGCAATCTCAACAAGAAGATCAATGGGCAAATCTGCCCAGCCGCCTGCCATTTCTTCTTGATCTAGGTCAAGACAAGAGGTACATATTATAAGTATATATAGGGACGCCTGCAATTATACCTATTTCAATTCGGATAAGGATTTGGACAAGCCCAAACATACTTCCCCTATTAACATGGACATCACATATATATATATATATATATATATATATATATATATATATCAATTTCATATATAATTCTGTTATAGCAAAGTTTACATAATTAGCAAACATATATAGTGTAATTCGTTGTATATGACAATTATATACAATTGAATCGAATTATATAGAAAGAAATTATATACACCTAGTCATTTTCGATATACAAATTAGTCATTTCAATATAAAATGTATAAAATACTTTTGTGTTTGTATAAAGTGAGAGAAAAAATATATATACAAATACGAATACATATATTTTCGTCCAATATAATTATATTGTACAAATAAATATTTTATTATATAAATTACAATATATATATATGAATTTATACAAAACTAAACAATTTGTATAAAATTGGATGTGTGTAACAAATCAAAAGCTCTATAAAAAAAAAAATCTTGTTATGAATCGCAATTATACAAGTATAAAGTATAACTATAACAGCATAAATATAATTTTTATGCTATACATGAAAGTTGTTCTATTGAATAAAGAAAATTTCCATTCACCTTATTGGAAGAGAACATTTGACAACTGAATATCGTATAATTGGTTTGGTAGGAAGAAAAACGTTTTTCATCGTAAATAATGTTTTTTGAAAAAGAAAGTAATTTAAAATTTATTTTCTCATGTCTAGTTAGTAGGTGAAAAATATTTTTTAGTATTTGATTAGTAAAAATAAAAATAAAAACATTTTTTTAGAAAAAAACATTTTTTATTTTTTTCTAGAGGGTAAAAAATAAAAAACCTTTTTAAGTAATCCATTTATGATAGGAATATCAAATTCTGATAACCAATTTAAAAAAAAAAAAAAGGTCTGTAAGTGGGTATTTTGTGAAGCTGGGTGATTCTACAGAGCTTGTTAGTTAGTTACTAGCAGTTAGTAACAGCTTCAGACTTGGACACTAATACAAAGATGTAGTTAACTTTTTTATTTTAGTGGTATACACAAAGTTTCTGTAATTCTCTTTTAGAAACACAAAAATCATTTCAACCTTCTCCTATGTCGTCTCGTTATGATGTTTACTCTGATAGAAAGAAAAATGATCTACTTAGAGATCCTCCTTCAACAACTAATTCAAAGTGCGATTTTATTGGCTGCCAGAAGAAATACCGCAACGATGCTGAGCTTAAAGATCATTACAAACTTGTACACCGCCAGATTGAGACCGTTGAAAGTAATAAATGCAATCAATGTGGAAATTATTTTCGGACTAAAGGTGAAAGAGCCGAACACGAAACGTTTTACTCTCACAGATAAGGATGGTAAGTTTTTATAATTTCGTCTGATTTAAATTTCTTGATATTTGTTAGTAGAATTCCGATATGTAAGGTTTTTTTGCTAATTTTGTGAATGTTGCAATTTTCGGGTCAATGTTAATGGAAAATATTCATGGTTTCAAGTTAGTTATACCTCCCACCAAAAGCAGTTATCTTTTTTTTCATCACTCTGTTCTTGAACTTTCTGGCATTTATCAATTTGGTTTTTGGGATTTGTGGAAAATTTAACTATTGGGTAGTGAAATTTGGGGAAAGTTTCGATTTTTTGTTGTTCGACTATTGAGTTTTGAAACAGAGACTGCTACGCGTTCGAGAGAGAGAAAAGATTGAACTCTTAATGAAATGGTTCATGATCTTTTTCTGTTAATATCTTGTCTCTTTTGAAATTTGATACTGCTACTTGTTTGATTAATTTTCTTTGAGAAAGAATTGTTCGATTTTCAGTGAATCGGCGGACGGATCTTTTGCTGTAAATTTCTCGTCATTTATCCTATTCAAGCTCAAAATGCTTGTACTGGTTTTGTGGAATTCAATGATGAATTCTTAGGATCTTTTGGTTAAAGATAGCTAATTTTCTATCCATTGTTTCTTGTCCATTCTGATTGTACCAGCGCTGCATCTTGGATTACCATTTGTGCCTAGCTATCTAGTACAGTCTGATTTTTTAGAACAGATGGTTCTTGGGTACAATTATCTTTCTGCTGGTGTTGATATTATATTCTCAACTGGCTCGGAAGTGGTAATGTTTTATCTTATACGAATCAATTTCCACGTACTACATTTTATGATTATTGATTTTGTAGTAGTTAAATTATATTAGTGTTTATGCAGGGTCAGCATTGCTTGTTTTACATTTCGATTGGGAGCAATGACTTCATTCACTACTATATCCCGAATGCCTCAAATGTTTTAACTGTTTACCTGCCATGGAGTTTCAACCAGTTTTTAGCACAGACGATTAAACAACAGATCAAGGTGCAGTGTTGTTCTATACAAAATCTTAATACTGTCTTCTTTATGCAGTTGCCTTCTTCGACATTTTGCAGCTTTATACAAACCATCTAGCCTCTTTGCTCCCTCTATCATGCATTATATGTTTCAATTTCCCCTGCATTGTTTCCACGATTATTAAGTTCAATGTGCAGATATTAGGTTACTTTGCTGGTTAATGTTTTCCTTCTAACGTGTATGTACTGGTGCCACAGAACCTGTACAATGACAAAGTGAGAAAAGTGGTTGTAATGGGACTGGCTCCAACAGGCTGTGCACCTTACTACTTATGGTTGTACAGTAGCGAGAATGGGGAGTGTGTCAAGAACATAAATGACATGAT